TGAACATATAGTATCATAAAAACTATTTTTATACACATATAACATCTGAAAATTAAATTTGATTTTGCAATAAACGTTCTCCACTCTACCCTAAATAAGGGCAAAATATCTTTAACAAATAATAAGAAAACTATGGAAAATATTTGTCATTTCAAAAGTATTTGTGTGAATAAAAACATTCAACCAACATTTTTTTCATGTAAACCAAACGAGTGTTAAGTTAAATTCACAACCAGGTGTGTTAAAATGGAGTTAAAAATGTGAACATAATGTACACACACACCCCTAATCCATTGCTTCAATTTATTTTAAATCTGACTTTTGATTTTATTTAATATTTCAAACACAGTTTATAAGTACAGGGTTCTTTTTTATGACCATACAGGGCATTAGATCAAAAACAGGTCATTATAAAAAAAGACACAAGCGTCGAACGCAATCACTGAAAAAACGCTCACTTCCCAGGACAGCGCTAAGACGGACAGAACATGGAATACAGAACAAAAAGAGCTGGTACAATATAAAACAGAGGTAGCTATAGATAAGAAAGCAGACCCTTTACAAGGCTTCCTAAGAGGCAGTCAGTTGATAAAAGTAGCATTCCTTGACCAGTAAATGATTGTCATTCAAGTCATAAAGAGCCACATTATTAGACTGGCAGAGGGGATTAGATTGTATAGAATGTATACTGATTTGGCAGCTATGAAAAGTCATGTGATATGCAAATGAGGATTAAAATGTTTAAAACATTCCAGACAGTTACTTATTACATTAATAATTATTGCTGATGGTTCTCAACACTGCAGTGACCCCTTGATAGCATTAGCAAAGTTGTTGCAGCCCATAATCGTTTAAATTTTTTTAAAAATGAAAGCCGTTACAGATAAGATAAAGATGAACATTTTTTAAAAACCAGTCAAATTTCTGTTTTTTTGTTATATTCCCCCCTAGGGTTCCAGAACCACATGTTGAGAACAAACTGAATTTGTGTCATAATCATGCTGAAATATAAATATCAATTTCAAATGTAATGAATGCAATTATTTGGTTTCAATGAGCTCCTAATCTTGACTCCAAAATGTACTTTGTCCCTCAGAATCCAGTAAGTCCTTCCAATGATCATGTACTTAGTCCCACAGAATCCACTGATCATGTACTTGGTCTTTCTGATTTAGACATTCTGTAGGTTTAAAAAAAAAAAAAAGTAACATTTTAGATCAGAGTATGCAATAAAGTAACATGTTTTATGTCTGTTTATAACTTAATTTTGATTATTCATTTTACTATTATGGAATTCTATAAGCAGCACAGCAAAAGTCTTAGGGTAAACAATTTTAAATTGAAGCCTACAAGAAAATTTGTTGGTTACAGCATTAATGTTTAAATTTTCATATTTTAATTTTACACTTGATTTGTTTTTTAAGTGTAAATAATTTATTTTAAGTTAAGTTTTACATTCACTTTAAACCCTGGAGCTTACAGGTCGTGGTGAGTTGTTTGATCTCTTGATAACAGTGGCTCGTGCTGGTTGATCCAGTGGTTGGTGCTGGTTGATCCAGTGGCTGATGCTGGGTAGTGTTTAAGTTTATTCTATCACTGAACCTAGAAAACTATTTAAAAGCAATAAACATTTCAGGATATTAATAAAGATTTAAAAAAACAGCATAACAGCATATATTTTCTATTTAAATGTTAAAAATTTATGATGAAATAACATGGTACATTCTTGTCCATGATCAAGATTAGAGTCTACTTCAGACAAGATTCCACTTCAGACAAGAGTGCACTTCAAACAAGATTCCACCTCAGACATCAGTCCACGTGTAAGCAATCTATACATATAGATGGGCTTGACTTGTAAGCATAGCTTCTTCTTGTGTTAACTATTAGAAAAAAATAAAAAGACTATAATTAAAAACATATTTTTTAACGAGAATTTATATATTTGAAAAGCTGTTAAAATATTTGGTTGTGCTCATAGGCGGTGAGGGTTGTGTGCTTCCTCCAAAATAAAGTTGATTTGATGATTTGGCCAAAATGGAGTTTCCTCTCCATAAAGTTGAGTTGATGATTTGGCCAAAATGGAGTTTTCTCTCCATAAAGTTGAGTTGATGATTTGGCCAAAATGGAGTTTCCTCCATTAAGTTGATTTAATGATTTGGGTAAAAGAGGTCAATGAATTTACACTTTTATTTAGCTGCTAAAAATATTCACGAAACGAACCTCTCGAATCATATGATCAGAAATTTCAAATGTCAGATGAAAGAAATCTTCATACATAAACAAACAAAAAATTAAATTAAAATATGTTTTAAAATGCCCCCCCCCCCCCAAAAAAAAAAATTACCAATTCATTTTCCCAAACTTTTTAAATGTGTCAAATTCAATCAATAAAGATAAAAAATCTTGGTAAATAAAAACTCTTTCCATATATGTAAAGATGGAGCCAAAGTAGATGTGCAATCCCCAATAAATAGCTTGAACAATAAAATTCCCCAAAATTGACCAGACAGCTTGCAAATTTGTGTTTAATATTCGATAGTCAACTTGAAACACTAGGCTGGTCACCATTGGAGAAACGACGACGACAATCCAGGCTCTCCATGATGTACAAGATAAATAATGGGCTGGTCCACTGTTCCAGTATTAAACAGAAACTCGTCCCTCTCCCCCATAGACAGCGACGAGGCCATGACAGGCTCATACCAGCAAGAAGCCAGTATAGGAGCTGCTCATTCCTGCCCAAGACAATCAGGGACTGGAACCATCTTTCAAAAGGAACAGTTGAGGCGACAACACTAGACACATTTGTGTCTATTGCCTCAAGCCTTCAAACCCCTAGTGCATAATTTCCTCATCACCACCAGTAACAGAAACATTGCAAATCCCATCTACATGCATAGGAGCCAAAATGATCAATAAATTGATCGTGGGCCCTTAAGATATAGAAGAAGAAGAAGAAGATATTATAATTAAAAGATTATTCTCTTAGTAACCTTATTTTTTTTTTCTTGATTATAATTAATTCATTTTTGTACTTAATAAAAATTTTACATTTTGAAATTGAGTTATGTGCCATTGCATTTGCTGGAGGGCAAATAAGGCAAAAATGGGTTAATTCAATTTCCTTTTATTTGTTATCCCGAAATGTCAATAATATCTTGAATAGAAAAAGTATGGTCTTTATTAAGTGCTATATTTGTAACATAAAAAAATTGAAATTAAAATTGAATAATATTTAATTAAAAATAATATATTGATATTATAAACAATAAATAGACCATAAATTTTATTAAATGTATTAAACAGACAAGTAGAGCTACATATGAAGGAAACGGCCATTTTTAAAATAGTTACCTTGTGAGCCAACAGGGCCTGGATCACCTGGTTGACTACCTCATCAAGACATTTCTCATACCGCTGTCTTTGCTGTTCATTCTCCAACATGAGGGAACTGTTCTTCACCTCCATCTTTAATCTCTCCAATTTTAGTCTTGTCTCAGACCTGCAAGATAAGCCAACAATGATGAGGGCTGTAGACTGGCATTATTGAATATTTAATGAAATCTTATTACAAGTGACAAAGTCATAAACAGTTTTATGAGAGATATTAACAGTCTGACACACAACAAACTTGTTGAAATAAAACTGGCTATTTTAAGATCTATGCTGATGATGGGCTCTGGAGGTTTGTGTAGATGTGTTGTTTTTAAAGAAGGTAAATTACAAAATATTTTATGAAAACATTTCTAGATCAACAATTTACTTATTGTGTATTATATATAATGATTTAAATTATATATAATCAATATCAAAATAAAATGCATTACGAATATGTAATGTGAACGTTTTATGTGATGCTAGGCGTGATTGGGAATTTTTAGTTTTTGGAAAACTTAACAAAATAATTGATAAATAAATTTTTTTTTAAATATTACTTGCTTGCTGAGCCAATCCATCCCAGAATGTCATCCCAAATGGGCCTCAATCTTCTTTATTTGATTTCCCAGTTCCAGTCCCAGGCAGCACTTTTTTGTCTATGTAGGGGTGGGTGTCTTTTCAGCCAAGTGTAAAAAAAATAAAAGGATTAAAAAGTGCAAGACATAATTTTATTTGACAATCAAATACTACCTGGTATACATTATTATGAGATAGTGGAACTATAAATTCAAAGTATTTAACTTTATTCTTGTATTCTGACCCAGTACAATGCAATCATAAAACATTTCCATTTGTTTGGATCAATAAAAGAATCTTATCTTATCTTAAATAGAACTGTTGGGTGGAACAAAAAGAGCAAACTAGAAAAAAAAAAAAACAAGCAATTAAAAAGAGCAATTGTCATCAAAAGGCGGAATTCGATAGATATTTCCTTTGATAACACAGGATGACATTACAAGCTTAATGTGACAAAATCATAAAACATTTCCATTTGTTTGGATCAATAAAAGAATCTTATCTTATCTAAAATAGAACTGTTGGGTGGAAAAAAAAGAGCAAACTAGAAAAAAAAAAAAAAACAAGCAATTAAAAAGAGCAATTGTCATCAAAAGGCGGAATTCGATAGATATTTCCTTTGATAACACAGGATGACATTACAAGCTTAATGTGACAGCTGAAATAACATAGGCCAACATTAAAACAACAAATAGTTTGATTTATCTTTAGCCTTCCTCAGGCGCCAAATAATTCAGTTAAAATGTATTATGAAGTGGAAACAGAAGAAGGAGTAATAAAACTTCAAGAAGTTAAGACCTGAAGGTATAATTTCAATGATTTAATTTTATGCTGCCTCTAGGGATCTTTTACCCAGAAGACATGGTTTCGTTTGGTATTAAAATAAATCCACCAATGCGATCATGACTTTGAACAAAGCTCGAAAGATGTACATAATACAATGTTTAACACTTCTACAATTTTACAAAGTTTCTTATAATTTGTCCACTCTAAGTTATTTGCCTTTTTCTTTATAAAAAAAAACATGAAAATTGGTAACTAAAACAGGGCAGTGTTCCCAAGTAAAAAAAAATGAGTTTTTAATCGCGGGAAAAAATTTAACTTTTTAACCACAAGCCCTACATGAAAAAATGTAAATGTATTTTTTCCCCTAAGGGTTCCCCAAGAAATACTGCAATGTTCCATCTTCAAAGTCTGCCCTTACATGAAGCCAATAAACTCCAATATTACAAATTGAATTACAATAAATGAAAGTATGTGATTACTCACAGTTTAAGCTCTTGCCAAAAAGGGTGATCATTCTATTCTCTCCTTTGATCTCCCAGATACATCTCACATAGCACATGACTCAAAGGATAGGAAGGGGCATTGTATTGTGCTTCTAGTTCAGCGGTGCTTCTAGCTCAGCGGTGCTTCTAGTTCAGCTGTGCTTCTAGTTCAGCGGTGCTTTTAGTTCAGCGGTGCTTCTAGTTCAGCTGTGCTTCTATTCAGCGGTGCTTCTAGTTCAGCGGTGCTTCTAGTTCAGCAGTGCTTCTAGTTCAGCGGTGCTTCTAGTTCAGCTGTGCTTCTAGTTCAGTGATGCTTCTAGTTCAGCAATACCTATATCAAGATAAAAGCATAAATGGCCTCATTGTGGTCAATGCTGCATAGGACGGAAATATTCAAAAATTCATTTGTTCCCGAATCTTACCAGAATTTACCAATTGTTTGTGTCTAATTAATCTATTTTAAAGCTTTATCGCAGTCCAACACTTTTTATTATTTTCATAATTTACCAGGGTGTTCCTACGACTGTTCTCATAAAAATAATTTAAAATAAGTTTTTACAAAAGTTTTACTATTAGATGTCCATCCACCCAAGTAATTTGGTGCCAATGCTATACAATTTCCTCCCCCCCCTCCACCCCCTTTATGTACATGATTAAGAAAGTTGTTAATTTTCCTATTACTCTCACATGCCACGTGCTGTTCTTGATTATGAATGCATCAATCCGAATTCTAGAAGATTTTGCCCCTATTATAAATTAGAGGGTTAACTGAGAATCAGACAGACTTGAGCGAGAGATTTTGGGCTAGGCCTACTTACAATTCTCATTTTGTGTGTGTAAATGACTATTTTCTGAATTTCAATTACTTGTGTGGATTAATATTTTTATTGTGTTAGTGGATTACTATTTCCACCTATAATTACTAGACATATTCATGTGCTGTTAGTTGGTACATAATTTTTTTTTAAATGTTTGAATTAGTAGTTATGATATTAGAACTGTTAATATAAATTATAAATAAATTTGAGTTTTGTAAATATCACTAGCTTTGTATTGTATCTTAGTACAATGGTTTCAGTCCTTTGTTACGTATTGACAATACTATTCTTCTTCAAATGAGCCAAATCTTGAAACAGATTACAAGTGTTAAAACCTCATAATGACACATTAATATATACATATTCAAGAAACTATGGGGAAAATTAAATTTTGAGTGTCATTCCAAAGGAAACTTCCAAAATTGATTAATTAACCCGTGTATATAATGATCAAGAGCAGTTTTTCTTTCAGACAATATCCTATGAGGAAAGGGGAGGGAGGAATTTAACATTTAGTGGGGGGGGGGGGCAGTGCTAATGGACATAAGCATAGGTAAGGAGGGGATATGGAACATATGTCCCCAGCAGGGCTTTCTTAACTGCAGCGGAGGCCCTGGGTACAGTAATGCACTGAGGCCCCTAACCCTATATATACTCAGGGCTGTGAGAAGGAGGTGGCAAGATGGCCAATCACCCCTGGCGGCAATATCAGGGGATGGAAAAATCGTCTGAAGATAGGCCCTTAATAGTTAATTTGAAAATAAAATCCCATGTACTTTTCCTGGGAACGGCTGTCTATAGGGGACTGCAAATGGGGTTATTACTTCCCTTGTCACCCAGAGTTATCGTTCATACCGAGGGGTACAAAGCACGTACAAAGATGGCTGCTAACATTGCGAAAACAGCATTTGAGACCTGGCGAGTCGAAGAAATTAAGAAATTTTTATGAGAATTGCATCAGCCGGTATCTGGAAATAAAGCAGAACTAGTAGATCGGGCACGCGGTTGTGTAGCTTTGCAAATTTGTGGAATAAAAACCAGTAAAGACGAACTATTCCATCGTCCAAACTTCAATAAGCTAACTACTCCTTCAGGAGCGAAAATGCCCAATCCTGCAATTTTAAAAGACTAGCTGATGTTGGAGGCAATGCCTTCAGATGTCAAAGATACAGATGTCTACAACTACTTTGTGTTGAGTTGATAAAATTTATTCCTAATTATTTAAAAATCACTCTGAAATGTTAAAGAGCTGTTAGCAGTGCTACAATTATTTTCAACAATACTACAGACTACATACATAATGATAATACAATAATACTAGTATAAATTATATTTATAACATTGGCCTAATAAACTAAGCCTAATACTAAGCCTAGATGTATATTATAATAATTATATAGTAAAGACTACTGTAATTAAGATACTAAATAAATTATTAAATAATTAATTGCTGACCTAATAATAATATTTGACAGTCTACACTACAGACACACTTTTATTTTTATCGTCATCATAAAAAAAAAATTGCCTACCAGACAAGTATATAGATCTATTTTTAAATAAACTAGTGTTAGTAATTAGGCTTTAATAGGCCTAATGTTAATTGTGTTTAAAAAATCCAATTTATCTATTTAATCATCAAGTCATATACAAAATTACACATACTAACATTCGCTTCTCATATGTAATTTAAGTACAGTAATTACATGTTTTATTTTTTGTCACATACGAGTATCAGCAGTACAGGTTGGTTGGTGTACGGCTCTTTGCTTTTCTTAACATTTGAGGAATATAGTAAATACTGTCATAATTTCTTATTCTTATATATTGTAGTGCATTAATTTTTCTCTGTCATTTTTACAGATTGCAAACAACTGATAGCAGAGTGATGGGAGCATCCCGACAACTGAAGGGCAGAACTATGTTCCTAGAAGGACATGTGCAAAGCATTGCTTATCATCATATCAGGTAAAGATGACATTGCATAATACCAGTACATTGACATTATTTAAGTATTACTACATTAACAAATAGAATAAGACGGTGAATTTATTTGTTTTAAAATTTTATAACAAGAAACAGTCCACCCTTTGATACACACTGTCCACCCTTTGATACACACTGACCAAATAGACTTGGACCCTAATTGATAAATGTTTCATTTAACTTTACCAGAGATGATTGTGACCATTGTTTCATCCAAGCCAAGTTCAGGCCATCTTTGCCAAGTAAGACACCTAATTACACTACATGGATATGTTTAAGCAAGATCTCTAGACATTTACATTCTGCACATTGTACTTGTACTGCAGGGTAAGCTATTCTGAGTTTTAATTTATTTGAATTTTAAATGCAATATGTTATTGTGCTGTCTTCATAAAATTTCATTGTTGTCATTACTATTTCTACTGGTAAAACTAAGGTTATTTTGCGAGTTTTTTTATAACAAAGAAAAAGTCTTGTC